CAAGTATACATTCTTTTCCAACGCATGTGGATCATTTTCCAGAAGAGACCACATATAGGCCACAAAGCAAGCCTTAACAGAATCCAAAACACTGAAATATTACAAAGCATCTTTTCTGACTATAAAGCCATAAAAGCAGAAATCAATAAAAGAAACAGCAAGGAAAAAAAATCAAAAACATGGAAACTGAAAAACACCTTGCTCAGAAACTACTGGGTTATAGAAGAAATCAAGGAAAGAATAAAGAAATTCATAGAAACAAGGAAGAATGAAAACACATCTTACCAGAACCTTTGGGACACAGCAAACGCAGTGTTCAGAGGTCAATTTATAGCAATAAATGCACATATCCAAAAAGAAGAAAGGCTAAAATCAAAACACTAACCCTACGACTCAAACAAATAGAAAGAGAGCAGCAAAAGAAGCCCTTGGGCACCACAAGAAAGGAAATAATACAGATTAAAGCAGAAATAAATGAAATAGATAATACAAAAACCAATGGAAAGAGTCAACAAGACCAAAAGCTAGTTCTCTGAAGACATCAACAAAATCGATAAACCACTGGCCAAACTGATGAAAAACAGGAGAGGGAGCAACTAACCCAAGTAACAGAAGAGACAGGGGATATCACAACACACCCAACTGAAATAAAAAGAATCATAACAGAATACTATGAAAAACTCTACTCCAACAAATTTGAAAACCTAGAGGAAATGGACAAATTTCTAGAAACACACTACGTACCTAAACTAACACAAACTGAGGTTAAAAAAAAAACTAAATAAATAAACCTATAACAAGAGACTGGAGAGGTAATAAAAAAACTCCCAACAAAAAAAAGCCCTGGCCCTGATGGCTTTACTAGAGAATTCTACCAAACTGTTAGAGAAGAATTAATACCAGTACTACTAAAGGTATTTCAGGGCACAGAAAAGGAAGGAATACTCCAGAACTCATTCTATGAAGCCAGCATAACCCTGATACCAAAGCCAGGTAAAGACACCACAAAGAAAATTACAGACCAACATCCCTCATGAACATAGACTCAAAAATCTTCAACAAAATTCTAGCCAATAGAATTCAACAACATATCAAAAAAAAACAAATCATCATGACCAGGTGCGATTCATACAAGGTATGCATGGATGGTTCAACATTAGAAAAATAATCAATGTAATCTATCACATAAATAAAAGATAAGAACCATGTGATCTTATAAATTGTGCAGAAAAGGCATCTGACAAAGTCTAACACCCATTCCTGATAAACTCTCAGCAAAACAGGAATAGAAGGGAAATTCCTCAACATAATAAAAGGCAATTTATACAAAGCCAACAGCCAACATCGTTCTAAACAGAGTGTGAAAGCATTCCTCTTGAGAATGGGAACTAGACAAGGATGCCCATTATCACCACTCTTATTCAACATTGTGCTGGCAGTCCTAGCCAGAGCAAAAGAAAAAGAAATAAAAGGCATCCAAATTGGTAAGTGTTATGGATTGAATTGTGTCCCCCCAAAATATCTGTCAACTTGGCTAGGTCATGATTCCCAGTATTGTATGACTGTCTACCATTTTATCATCTGATGTGATTTCCCTATGTGTTGTAAAGTCTATCACTATGATGCATTAAGATGGATTAGTGGCAATTACACTCCTGAGGTCTACAAGATTAGATAGTGTCGTAAGCCAATCTCTTTTGAGATATAAAAGCGAGCAGAGAGAATGGGGACCTCATACCACCAAGAAAGCAGTGCCGGGAGAAGAGCACACCCTTTGGACCTAAGGTTCCTGCGCTAAGATGCTCCCAGACCAAGGGAAGACTGATACTTCACAAGGACCTTTCTCCAGAGCCAACAGAGTGAGAAAGCCTTCCCCTGGGGCTGACGCCTTGAATTTGGACTTGTAGACTACTAGACTGTGAAAGAATAAATTTCTCTTTATTAAAAGCCATCCACTTGTGGTATTTCTGTTAGTGCGGCACTAGATGACTAAGACAGTAAGGAAGAAGTAAAAGTATCCCTATTCACAAATGATATGATCTTATACACAGAAAACTCCAAAGAAACCACGAGAAAACTACTAGAACTAATAGAAGATTTCAGCTAAGTATCAGGATACAAGATAAACATATAAAAATTAGTTGGATTCCTTTACAACAACAAAGAGAACTTTGAAAAGGAAATCACCAAATCAATACCATTTACAATAGCCCCCAAGATAAAGTGCTTAGGAATAAATCTAACCAGAGACATAAAAGACCTATACAAAGAAAACTACAAGACACTACTGCAAGAAACCAAAAGAGACCTACATAAGCAGAAAAACATACCATTTTCATGGACTCAACATTGTGAAAATGTCTATTTTCCCAAAAGCGATCTACGGATACAACACAATCCTGACCCAAATTCCAACAGCAGTTTTTAACAAGACAGAGAAACAAATCACCAAATTCATATGGAAAGGGAAGAGGCCCCAGATAAGTAAAGCATTACTGAAGAAGAAGAACAAAGTAGGAGGCCTCACACTACCTGATTTTAGAATCTATTATACTACCATGGTAGTTAAAACAACCTGGTACTGGTACAACAGATACATAGACCAATGGAAAAGAATTGAGAATCCAGACGTAAATTCATCCACGTATGAGGAGCTGATGTTTGACAAAGGCCCGAAGTCCGTTAAACGGCGAAAAGACAAGTCTCTTTAACAAATGGTGCTGGCATAACTGGATATCCATCTGCAAAAAAAGGAAACAAGACCCATACCTCACACCATGCACAAAAACTAACTCAAAATGGATCAAAGACCTAAATGTAAAATCAAAAACGATAAAGATCATGGAAGAAAAAACAGGGACAATGCTAGGAGCCCTAATACATGGCATCAATGGTATACAAACCATAAGTAAAAATGCACAAACACCAGAAGAGAAACTAGATAACTGGGAGCTCCTAAAAATCAAACACCTATGCTCATCAAAAGACTTCACTAAAAGAGTAAAAAGACAACCTACAGACTGGGAAAAAATTTTTGGCTATGATATATCCAATAAGGATCTAATCTCTAAATTCTATAAGATACTGCAAAATCTCAACAACAAAAATACAAATAACCCAATTAAAAAATGAGCAAAGGATATGAACAGGCACTATACCAAAGAAGATATTCAGGTGGCTAACAGATACATGAGGAAATGCTTATGATCATTTGACATTAGAGAAATGCAAATCAAAACTACAATGAGATACCATCTCACCCCAACAAGGCTGGCACTAATCCAAAAGACACAAAATAATATATGCTGGAGAGGTTGTGGAGAGATGGGAACGCTTATGCACTGCTGGTGGAAATGTAAAATGGTACAACCACTTTGAAAAATGATTTTGTGCTTCCTTAATAATCTAGAAACAGAAGTACCATACAATCCAGCAATCCTGCTCCCTGGAATATATCCTAGAGAAATAAGTGCCATCACATGAATAGATACGCACACCCATGTTCACTGCAGCACTGTTCACAAAAGCAAAAAGATAGAAACAACCTAGGTGCCCATCAACAGAAAAATGGATAAACAAATTATGGTACATACACACAATGGAATACTATGCAATGATAAAGAACAATGATGAATCTGCGATACAGCTCACAACGTGGATGAATCTGGAGGGCATTATGCTGAGTGAAATTAGTCAGTCACAAAAGGACAAATATTGTATGAGACCACTATTATAAGAACTCAGGAAGAGGTTTAAACACAGAAGAAAGCATTCTTTGATGGTTACAAGGGTGGGGAGGGAGGGAGAGGGGAATTCACTAACTAGATAGTAGACAAGAATCATCTTTGGTGAAGGGAAGATGGCACACAATACAAAGGAAGTCAGTACAACTGGACCAAAGCAAAAGCTAAGAAATTTCCTGAACACACCTAAGCACTTTGAAGGACAGAGTAGCTGGGGCTGGGGCCTGGGGACCATAGTTTCGGGGGACATCTAGGTCAACTGGCATAACAAAGTTTATTAAGATATTGTTCTGCATCCCATTTTGGTGAGTGGCATGTGGGGTCTTAAAAGCTTGCATGCGGCCATCTAAGATGCATCAACTGGTCCCAACCCATCTGGAGCAAAAGAGAATGAAGAACACCAAAGGCACAAGGAAAATACCAGCCTGAGTGACAAAAGGTCCACATAAATCAGAAACTACATTAGCCTGAGACCAAAAGAACTAGATGGTGCCCGGCTACCACCAATGACCGCCCTGACAGGGAACACAACAAAGGGTCCCTGACCGAGCAGGAGAAAAGTGTGGTGCAGAACTCAAGTTCATGTAAAAAGACCAGACTTAATGGTCTGACTGAGACTAGAGGAACCCCAGAAGACATGGCCCCCGGACTCTCTGTCAACTCAGAACTAAAACCATTCCTGAAGCCCACTCTCCAGAGAAAGCTTAAACTGGACTATAAAACAAAAAATAATACTCGGGAGAAGTGTGCTTCTTAGTTCAATCGGATACATGAGACTAAATGGGCAGCTCCTGTCCAGAGGCAGGATGAGAAGGCACGAAGGGACAGGAACTGGTTGAATGGAAACAAGAAACCCAGGGTGGAAAGGGGAAGTGTGCTGTCACATTGTAGGGAGTGCAACTAATGTCACATAACAATATTTTGGTATGAGAAATTAACTTGAGCTGTAAACTTTCACCTAAAGCACAATTTAAAAAAAAAAAGAAAACAAATGCCCTAGATTTCTAACCCTGTCTTTCCTCTGAACTGAATGGTTTATGTTGGTTATTACATTAAGGAGAGAATTGTCTAATTTAGGGTTTCTCAACCTTGACACTGTTAACATCTTGAGCTAATTTTACTATTTGTTGAGGGGGCTGTCCTGAGTATTGTAGGATGTTGAGCAGCACCCCTGGCCTTTTCCTACTAGATGCTAGTAGCATCCCCTTCAGTTCTGAAAATAAAAAATATGTTCATGGCGAAGAGGTGAGGTCTTACCCAGTGAGACCAGGAGCCCACAGATCTCCAGCATCACCTCCAAGTACAAGGTTCTCTGGGTCAGGTCCAGCTGTCCCCATTCCTCCCTTGTGAAATTAATGGCCACATCCTCAAAGGTCACATACACCTGACAAGTTAAAGAGAGACAGTAGTGTTGGTCTTGAGATTGCTGGATAGGACAAGAGCCTGTCTGTGTGTCAATTATCAAGGGGCAGAGAGACTCAAGGCCAAATCACCCAGCACCTCTTTAGGGTCTAGCTCTGTGCTGACATGCTGCTTTTGAGAGAATACGAAAGTGTAGGAGAGAAGAGCTTCCTATATGGGAGTCATTACGGAATGACGCAAGACAATGACAATCCCACTGGACTGTGAGATTCAGACAGCGCTGAGATGTCAGAGGAAAAGGATGATGCTGATAGTAACAACAACAGTAACTGTACCAATATTGGTAACAGCGGTGGTGGCTGAGCCTCACTGGGTACCCTGCACCGTGCTTAGGACCTTATGTGCCATGTTAAGTTCCCAGCCCTGAAGCTAGATTCCTGAGGTTTGAAGCCAAAGTCTTGAATTTTGACACTAGCCTGCTGTGTGACCTCAGAGCCCTCACTTCATTTCTCTAAGCCTTGTTTTCAGGATCAATACAATAAGAGCTCCCACTTCACCAATAACAGTTGTGGGATTCAGAGACATCATCCAGTACTCAGACCAGAACTGCCTCAGAGGGCTTTCTAGGCTGTAATCTCTATAGAAGCAGATCGCCAGGTCTTTCTCCAGCTGAGCTGCTGGGTGGGATCAAATCGCCGACCTTATAATTAGAAGAGCGCTTAACCATTGCGCAACCATGTCTTCTTGACACTCCTCTAGGACTGGGGATAAAGCAAATGACAAGCTAGCTCCTCTTGCCGTGAACAAACATCTGCAAAGAGAAAACCAGGCCCTTCACGGCTTCCGACCAGCCCAGGAGCCCTCTCCAACCTAGCAGAGAAGCAGCTCACCTGCGCCCGGTCCCTCAGCGCCACCGCCATCCTGGGACCTTGTGAACAAAGCCGCAACAGTGAGAGGCTGGCGACCAGGGCGGGTCCCGCGGCTTTCCCTTCTCGGGAAAGGGTGACCTCAGCTGATTCGCACTCCGGGCCTCAGTGTCCCCCGTGTAAAAGGCACACAGGACCCAGGGCGCGCATTCGGGGATGCGGAAACGGCGGGCGCGTGCGGAAGCACCAGAGAACCCGAGGACCCTGTAGGGGCCCAGGGGACATCCCCGTTACAGGGGCTTCACGGTTCCTACAAAGGCGCTGAAGTGGGGCCCACAAAGCCGAGCAGGGAAGCTGCGACTAAACAGCGCTCCGGTCCCCACAGCTCGAGCGGGGAGAACGGTCTCATGCAGAAGACGCGACCACTAAAAAGCCGGATGTGCCGCCCAAGGCACCCGTACCGCAGAAAACGCCTCTGCTTGGCCGTCGTTGCCCCAATGACCTACGCAGACGCATGAAACACAGCTTTCTGGGTAACGTAGTTGTTTGTCCACATCCAGTCTGGCGTGGGGCGCCTTTCCAAGTCTGTCTTCTCCACAGAAACACGCAGGCAGCACAGAGCGCCGCCTCAGGCCCACCTCTTCACATTGATCGCAGTACGAGGGACCAAGAGGCGATTGCCAAGGCCCGGTAGACGGGGATAATCGCCCGAGAAAAGGGCAAGTGCGATGGTACGAAACCGGACCCTCGTCTCGGCTAGTGACTTCTCCGCGTTCGTTAACGCCTCTCGAGATCCTCTTCTGAGGCGCCGGTCAAGAGAGCAAGCAAAATAACCCCCAAAGGAGCACGCCGGGAAGTATCGCTCGTCGCATTTTGCAAGCGTGGATCGCCCCCGCCTGAGCCTACTTTAGCCCAGTGCTGTAGCTGTAGGGTGCACGGATTTCTGGGTAATGTAAAGCCACCTGGAAGAGTGAATTTGCTATCCCCTGAGCAGGTCAAGGAGCCCTGGTGGCACAGTGATTTAGAACTACGGCTGCTAACCATAAGGTGCGAATCCACCACCGCTCATTGGAAACCCTCTGGGGCAGTTCTCTGCTCTATCGGGTCGCTATGAATTGGAATCAACTCCCGGGCAGTGGGTTTGGTTGGGTTTTTGAGCAGGTCAAACACATCCAGTGGCTCTGGAAGAAAGGCCTGATGATCTGCTTCTGTAAAGATTACAGTCAGGAAAACCTCATGGAGCGGTTATACTCTGTAACACATGGGATTGCCGTGAGTCAGAATCCATTTAAGGGGTTGGGTTTGGTTTTGCATTGAGATGCGGAGGCTACAAGTGAAGTAGGTTTGGAGGAAAAATCAGTACTCCTAATGTGGTCACTTTGAAATGTCTATGAGACCCCAAAGTGTGTCGCGTAGGTAACTCTGCATATGACTGAACGTTAGGAGAGGGTTCTGTTCTGGAGGTATAAATTTGGGAGTTGTTAGCTTACACTGTTCTTTCCATTCATGATACTGGGTGAGATCATCAAAGGAATGAATGGAGATAGAGAACAGAATGGACAGAAGATGAACCCTGGACCAGCCCAACATTAAGTGGTGCAGACAAACTAACTAACAAAGTCATGTTAGAAATTCTAACAATCCACCGAGAGATATTACGCAGAGGCCTAGTAGTCACCATTGCATTTCGTGGGGTTGGTTAGCTGGTTTGTTTTTTATGACTGGGGAGGTGAGAGAAGAAAATCCAGATTTCAATGAGCTGAAGATGCATAAGGTTGAGAAAATGTAAACACAGTGTGTAGAAAATGCCCTCAAGAGATTTAATTTTAAAAGATGAGAGAAAAAGCCCAGTGACTGGATGTATATTGGGTCAAGAAGCAAAGGAGGAGTTAGTTTCCTACAGGAAGATGCTGTTTTTAAAAAGAGATTATGGAGAAATGTTTAATTAGCATGCAAAGAACAACCTTATTGCCAATGGCAATGGTAGAGAAATTTGTCCAAATTGGAGGAATGACATAATTCCTATTTTCACACATTACTGATCCTTAAGATTAAAGTAAATGGTTTGGGGTTAGTTGGTAGAAAGGATATTAAAGTTGCAATTTTTATATTCTCTGATTTTTATATTCTCTGTGTCGTTGGAGGCCAGGATGTCTGGAATGAGTGCAAGTGAAGAAAGCTATGTAGATAATGAAGAAACTGCAATCCACACTGCAAAGCTGGCCAGAGAGTCTTCATTTAATCATATGTCAGCTGGTGATCAGTGTTGAGGATCTAATCAAATATTCTATGCTTATCTACCTGGCCAAAATGTGTGCAGTGATGTGAGTTTATCCAGCACTGGAAAGAAGAAATATTTCAGGGTTCATTTGTATGAACCAGTTAATTGATTAGAAACTTCCAACTGTTTAATTGGAATATTAACTCAAGAAAACTAGTGTTGTTAGGTGCTGTCAAATTGATTTTGACTTATAGTGATCCGATAGGACAGAGTAGAAATGCCCCATAGGGTTTCCTAGGCTGAATTTTTACAGGAAGGAGCCTTGGTGGTGAAGTGGTTAAGTTCTTAGCTACTAACCAGTTTACAGCTTTGGAAACCATATGGGGCAGTTCTACTCTGTCCCATAGGGTCGCTGTGAGTCGGAATCGACTTGATGGCAACGGGTTTAGATTTCTTGGTTTTATACTGATGCCACAGAATATGACACATCACGGTGGTGCTAGTGAATTCATTTGAGCATTGGATGGCATTGACACAGTATCATCAGTCAGAACAAGACCAGGGGCTGACTGTAGAACAGACCATCGATTGCTCATATGCAAGTTCAAGTTACAGCCGAAGAAAATTAGAGCAAGTCCACAAGAGCCAAAATATGACCTTGAGTATATCCCACCTGAATTTAGAGACCATCTCAAGAATAAATTTAATCCATTGAACACTAATGACCAAAGATGAGAGTTGTGGAATGGTATCAAGGACATCATACGAAGAAATCAAAAGGTCATTAAAAGGACAGGAAAGAAAGACCAAAATGGATGTCAGAAGAGGACTCTGAAATCCACTCTTGAACACTGTGTAGCTAAAGCAAATGGAAGAAATGATGAAGTAAAAGGGCTGAACAGAAGATTTCAAAGGGCAGCTCGAGAAAACAAAGTAAAATATTATAATGAAATCTACAAAGACCTGGAGTCAGAAAACCGAAAGAGAAGAACACCCTCGGCATTTCTCAAGCTGAAAAAACAGAAGGAAAAATTCAAGCCTTGAGTTGCAATATTGGAGGATTCTACAGGGGAAGTATTAAACGACACAGAAAGCATCAAAAGAAGATGTAAGGAATACACAGAGTCACTGTACCAAAAAGAATTTGCTGATATTCAGCCATTTCAGCAGGTAGCATATGATCAAGAACCGATAGTACTGAAGGAAGAAGTCCAAACTGAAGGGAATGGTGAAAAACAAGCCTCCAGGAATTGACAGAATACCAATTGAGATGTTTTCAACAAACAGATGCAGTGCTAGAGGTGTTCACTCGTCTATGTCGAGAAATTTGGAAAACAGCTTCCCAGCCAACCAACTAGAAGAGATCCATATTTGTGCCCATTCCAAAGAAAGGTGATCCAACAGAATGTAGAAATTATCAAACAATATTATTAATGTCACACAGGAGTAAAATTTTGCTGAAGATCATTCAAAAGCACTTGAAGCAGTACATTGGCAGGGGACTGCCAGAAATTCAAGCTGGATTCAGAAGAGGACGTGGAACCAGGGATATCACTGCTGATGTCAGATGGATGTTGGCTGAAAGCAGAGAATACTTGTGCTCTGTTGACTGTGTTTACCTGTGTTTTATTGTCTATGCAAAGGCATTTGACTGTGTGGATCATAACAAATTATGAACAACACTGTGAAGAATGGGAATTCCAAAACACTTAATTGTGCTCATGAGGAATCTGTACATAGATCCAGAGGCAGTTCAAACAGAACAAGGGGCCATTGCATGATTTAAAGTCAGGAGAGATGTGCGTCAGTGTTGTATCCTTTCACCATACTTATTCAATCTGTATGCTGAGCAAATAAATAATCCAAGAAGCTGGACTATATGAAGAACGTGGCAATCAGGATTGGTGGAGGACTCATTAACAACCTGCATTATGCAGCTGACACAACCTTGCTTGCTGAAAGTGAAGAGGAGTTGAAGCACTTACTGATGAAGATCAAAGACTACAGCCTTCAGTATGGATTGCCCATCAACATAAAGAAAACAAAAATCTTCACAACTGGATCAATCAGCAACATCATGATAAATGGAGAAAATTTTGAAGTTGTCAAGGATTTCATCTTACTTGGATCTACAATCAACACCCATGGAAGCAGCAGTCACGATATCTAATTATGTATTGCATTGGGACATTCTGTGGCAAAAGACCTCTTTCAAGTGTTAAAAAGCAAAGATATCACTTTGAGGACTAAGGTGTGCCTGACCAAAGCCATAGTATTTTCAGTCACCTCATATACATGCAAAAGCTGAACAACGAATAAAAAAGACTGAAGAGGAATTGATGCCTTGAATTATGGTGCTGGTGAAGAATATTGACTATATCATGGACTGCCAGGAGAATGAACAAATCTGTCTTGGAAGAAGTAGAGCCAGAATACTCCTTAGAAGCAAGGATGGCAAGACTTCGTCTCATGTACTTTGGACGTGCTACCAGGAGGGACTGGTTGCTGGAGAAGGACGTCATGCTTGGTAGAAGGTCAGTGAAAAAGAGGAAGACCCTCAACGAGATGGATTGTCACAGTGGCTGCAACAATGGGCTCAAGCATAACAACGATTGTGAGGATGACGCAGGACAAGGCAGTGTTTCGTTCTGTGTACACAGGGTAGCTGTGAGTCAGAACCGACTCCACAGCACCTAACAAAACAACATACATGGATGCATATGCACAATATATGTACACATATGTACTGGTGGTTACAAGGGAAGCACTCAGTGAATTACTGACTTTCAGTCTGTTTCCTGGCAGGCTCTCCACAAGTTCATGAGAAAACACAAGGCAGAGAGTGAAACCTCCAACACAGGTAAAGAGAAGAAGAAAATCCTATGTTTTGAAGCATCAAGATCCCATCCTAGAAAAGAGACTTTCTGGAAGTAAGGAAATTCTTCTATAAGGTGGAGCCCCAACTGAGCACATTGAAGTCATAGCATGTTATCTGTTTCTAAAGAGGAAGAGTCAGTTTCTTGAGAATTTTCTCTTCCTAGGAGTTTGTTGACTGGGAGAGGGTTGAATTCCCAAAACTTCACGTGGAAATTTAAGAAGGTGCCTTAGTCATCTAGTGCTGCTATAACAGAAATACCATCAGTGGATGGCTTTAACAAAGAGAAGTTTATTTCCTCATAGTAAAGTAGCCTAAAAGTCCAAATTCAAGGCATCAACTCCAGGGGAAGGCTCTCGCTGTCGGCCTTCTTTTCATCAGTGTTGCCCTGGACTAGGAGCTTCTCCACACAGGGACCCCAGGTCCAAAGGGTGCACTCTGCTCCTGGCACTGCTTTCTTGGTGGTATGAGGTCCCCCTGTCTGTCTGCTCACTTCTCTCTTTTATATCTCAAGAGATTGCCTCAGGATACAATCCAATCTTGTAGATAGAGTCCTGCCTCACTAACACAACTGCCGCCCATCCTCCCTCATTAACATCATAGAGGCAGGATTGACAACATATAGGAAAATCACACAATACCTGGAATCATGGCCAAGCCAAATTGATACACACATTTTTGGGGGGACATAATTCAGTCCATAACAGAAGGGTAATAAAATATTTCTCAACTGGAATTGAAAACACACCAACTTTAAAAAAAACGAAAGACAAAAGCACACGCAATGAACGATAGAATTTATCTGCAGAAATTAAGCACTAGTTTTCACAGAGAATGCTGAAGGCAGTGCCCTGGGAGCCAGAAGGGGCATAATTTTGGGCCACTCCATGGGAAAGATTTTCCACGAGAAATACTAGTCTAGGGTCTTAAAAGCTTGTGAGCGGCTATGTAAGATACAACTGTTGGTCCCTACTCATCTGGAGCAAAAGAGAAGGAAACTCGAGATTCAGAGAAGGAACTGGTCTATAGGATTGTCTACATGAACTACAGCCTTCTCTACCAAGACCAGAAGAATTAGATGTTGCCTGGCTACAACTACCATACTTCTGATCAGGACCATAATAGATGTATCCTGATAGAAAGGGAGAAAAATATGGAACAGAACTTCAAATTCTCAAAAAATCCGGAGTTACGGGACTCACTGAGACAGAGAATCCCTGAGACTATTACCCTGAGATAATCTTTTAAGCCCTGAGCCAAAACTAACCCCTCAAGTCATCTTTTAGCTAAATAGCAGGTTAGCTCCTAAAGTATTGAATATTACCCTTGAGTATTACACATTTTAAAAATCATCTATATGAGACCAAATAGTCAACAAATACTTTAAAGCGTAGATAAGAAGGGGGAGGGAGACATGAGACTAGGTTAACAGGAATGGAACAACTAGTACAGAAGTAATGAGAATGCTGATTCAGTGTGAAGAATGTGACCAATGTCACTGAAAATGTGTAGAAACTGTTGAATGAGAACCTGTTTTGCTGTGTACACTTCCACCTAAAATATAAAATACTATTAAAAAGGAAAGAAAGGACCTACCTAAAGACACACAAACTCACACAACTATAAAAACCTGGTACAAAGTGATTCAGTTTTTATTAATTAGTATCTTGCAGCTTAAAAATAAGAAACAAAAAGACAGATGAGGTAGCAGAGCCAGGCGAGCTCTTCGAACAAACACAAAGGAACAGGGCAGGCAGCTCAGGAAGCCATCTGAGCAGAGGGAGGCAACACCCTCTGGGAGTGGGTCTGGACCCAGGGGTGCTCCAGGACCTGGGCCAGGCCCAGACGCTCCAAGGGCTGGTATCTGAGCAGCTTGGAGATCAGGTCCTGGGCCCCAGAAGGCAGTGAGGAGGGAAACCTCACATCCACCTGATGAGGCCGGGGAAGAAGAAAGAGAAGTCTGGTTAATTTCCTTGGTTGATATTCTCCCTGTCATTCAAGGCACTGTGCTGGATGTTACTAGGCAACCTTTTTGTACTCCATACACCAGCAGTCATTACCATCCTGCTTCCCCAGGAATGCCCAGAAGTGGCCATCCCACCTTTAGGATGCGTCTGTAGGTCTCCGTGTGTGAGGGGCTCTCAAAGGGCGGACTGCCCACCAGCAGCTCATAACAGAGTACCCCGATGCACCACAGATCCACCCTCTCATCGTATGTTCTCCCTTCGATCATTTCTGGGGGCAAGTAGTCCAGAGTCCCACACATTGTCTTTCTCCTAGAGGAGGGCAAAGGGCACACTGGGAAGAACCTTCTCATGTAGTTGACGTACGCCACAAGAGGCCAGAAGTCCTGCTCCCCTCCCTGCGGCTCACAGAAAACGCTTCTGTTTGGCCTGGTTGGGATCTAGGTCCCAGAGAAGGCAAGCGCTTGGATCTACCAATCCTCTATTTTAGATAACTCATAAAATTCTTTAGCTCATGATCAAGAATGTTTTCACAAGAATATTCTAAGCATCAAGTGAGTGATTTGGAACAAACTGATGGTGCATCAAGAAGGGATCATAAAATACATTATGGTTTATTCACATAATGAAATACAGTACGCAAGAATTATGGTGACATGGCTCTTAATTTATCTGCATGAAAACTTATGGGTACAGTTATATATTAAAATAGATCAGAAAATAGAAGGTATAATTGAGCCACAGCCTTTACATCTAAATACACATTAAATGTATGTATTTGAAAAAGGCACTATTCAAACAGACCCAGGATTGTATCTAAGTCTTATGTGTGGAATGAATTACACTGGATCATTCCCATCAGGCACCCAGGCCCCATCCCACCACCACATACCGTAGAGAGAGGGTGTGCACAGACCAGCCAAAGTCTGCAATCTTCACTTCACCCCTTAGCCCCAGCAGCAGGTTCTCTGGCTTAATATCCCTGTGAATCACCTTCTTCTCATGGCAGTAAATCAGGGCATCTGCCAGCTCCTCCATTATCTTGTGAGAAAATAAAAGGCCACTCATACAGCCCCCAGCCCACATGGACCCCAGTGCCCCCAGCCCCTCCCCCTGCCACCTGACCGTGGCTGTACGCTGCTCGTCTAATCTGTGGCTCTTTAGCAGCTCCTTGTAGAGCTCGCCCCTTGGAGCATATTCCAGAATCAGGTATACCCGCCGTGTGTCATGGAAGTAGTTGTAGAGGCGCAGGATATTGGGGTGCCTAGAGGAGGGATGAGAGACTGGTCAGGCTCCTTCCTGAGGCCCAACCCCTGATGCTGTCCCAAGTGACTGGCCATACTTGGGGTAAATCGTGCTGGTACCAGAATAGCAGCGGCCCCCTCTGGGAGTGAGAGGGGAGAACAGGCATCAATCAGGATGAGGGGATCAGGCACAGGGTGGAACTTTACATGGTGTAATTGCACTGAACTGCAGAGAAAAAAATCTGCGAGGTGGAAGCAAAGGGATAGTTTGGAGGGAGTAAACGGGGCAAAAGCTGAGTTCAGATATCCGAGGTGGAAGAAACAGGAAAACAGTACAGAATCTCTGTGGGAGCCTCATCCAAAGACAGTCCTTACTGTAGGTGGGCCTGGATTTCAATTTCCCTGCGCAGCTGATGCTCAAGCCCTTCCTTCTCTATCTGCGACTTGAAGAGGACCTTCAGGGCCACAAGGAAGTGGTTCTTCTGGAGCCGAGCCAGGTACACATTGCCAAATTTCCCCTTGCCCAGCGGACGCCCAATTTCAAAGTCATCAATCCTTAAGCGCCGCCTGATGAGAAAGGAAGAAAAGAGCCTCACTTCTGGAGGGAGGTGGAGGGACAGGCAGGGATAGCGAGGGCTCACCTTCCTCTGCACTCGACCCTCCCTCTGCACCTCTCCGTTTCCAAAGGTCTGGCCAGCGTATTGAGTTAGGATAACAACTCTCAATCCCGTGAGTCTACACTCCATCTCTTCCTTCATCCCATCCTCCTCCAGGTTCAAACCCAAAGGCTCTCACATGTTCACCACGCTGGGCTGCTCTTGGCCCTCTGTAGCTACTGGCAAAAAGAAAAAAAGGAGATGTTAACATTTATTCTGTGCATACACACACAAATACTAACTCTAGTCCCTTCATGTCAGCCCTCATTCTCGGGTCTTGATTCTTATCCCCTTCACCTGTGGGCTGAGCATGGCCCGACTTCGTCTCAGCTTTCCAGCGACTCATGAAGGAAGATTTGATAGCGAGCCGATGCCTTCGTGAGCCCTTTGGAGCTGGGTGTTCAGCTCTCCACGGAATTCTGAGAAGATGGGAGCTAGAATGCGGGGGTCAGGCGCTCGGAATCCTGACACCCTCTGCAGCTAACGCTATCTGCAACCCTCAAGGTCGGGAAATACTGGACAATGCGGCCGGGGACCCTTTATACTCCCCGCCCCTCCCCCATTGGCTGAGCAGGTGGTTCCTGGACGATTCCCATTGGGTGAAGTCTCGGAAACGGCAGACAGCGAGGGCCCAATAGGAGAGACAGAAGTGGGCGCTTCGGGCCAGGGGCTGAAGGCAGTTGGCCAAGGAGACTCGAAGGGCGGGAGCAGGGCGTGGGCTAACCCTGGAGGGCGTGGCAGGGCGGGGCGGGTCAAGGTGAAATGCAACCTAGACAGAAGCGGGAGGGTGGAGAAGGGTAGGGGGCGGGGTAAGAGCTGGTTACAGAAAGGGCAGGATGTGAAATGGCCTTTTTCCAGGGGCAGAGTATCCGAAGATGTGGTTATCAAAGATGCGGTGAAACCCATGTGAAATTGTTCATTACAGATTAGGAAGTAAGCACAAACCTGTGCTCACCTTGCTTATTGGTAATTCGCCCTTTTTCTTTTGTCCAAAAATTGGCTCTGAAATCGGCTCTTGCTTGATATACTCAAAAACCCTGAGTTCAACTCACCCCGCCCCAGTTGCTAAGATTATTAAGAGGGAAGCTGAGGTCCATAGGGATCAAAGAGCAGAGGTATCACAGTTGGGTTGAGAGCCAGGATTGGGGGCCACTCAGGGCCCCCTGGGTGGCTCAACTGGTTAAGCATTGACTACTAGCTGAAAAGTTGGCAGTTCGAACCCGCCCACTGGCACCTCAGAAGACAAACCTGGCAATCTGCTTCTAAAAGGTCACAGCTTTGTAAACCTAATGGACCAGTTCTACTCTGCACACGTGGGGTCGTCACGAGTCAGAGTCAACTATGACAACTAACAACTATAATAGGCCTCCCTAGCTCCCACACCTGGTGGCTCCATCTGGAGTTTTTCTTGCACTTGAAATCTACTCTTTGGACGTTATCTTACCTGTATACACTTTTCCACTGCCACAGCCAGTCGCCCCAACCCCTCTTCCATCTTCATAAGCAGCACCATAGGAAGTAGGCAACTCTCCTGGGTGTAATGCAGCCCCCAGTGGCCGCTGGGAAATGGCTCCAGACTCAGGGTTGGCTATCCAAACAAGTCTCTAAACTGTTCTTATTAGCATTTTATAAACCAATTTTTAAATCCTCATCCTCACTCTCATCTCAAAATCTCTTGAGTGTTCCAGGAGAGATTCTTAGCCCTAGGTAATGAAATGGACGTCATTGCCCTTTGTTTCCATCAAAGTCTGCACCTGCCAGGCTAAGCCTGGAAATTGTTCAGTCTAGGTTGGTGGTAACTTTGAGAAACCACCCTCCAATTGCCTGTGAGCTGCTGCTTAGAAATTTTTTTAAATGGCAGGATCTGTTCTGGGTGTGAGAGTAATAATAATGAGATTGAAAATGGGAGTTTAGGTGAGAATTGAGTGAGCAAAAGGGAAAAGGTTTATAATAGGTATTGTTTCAAAAGGCAAGTGCATTACTAATTGGGTGATAAACAGACCAGTTGCCCACCACTGAATTTTTAACCTCCTTCACGTTGGGACACTTAGTGGCATCTCTTCTTGAGAGCACACACAGACTAGAGCTTCCTCAAGGGGAATCATCAGAATAGTTGAGCGTGTTTATATGTGTTCTGTTAAGAGTGGAAATGTGTTTAACGCCCTTCTCACCGCCTTACCATCATCAGCAGCCGCTGTGTACACAGCCATGTGTGGCTGGGCAGACTCCAAGGCATCACTTATCTTTTGTTCCTCCAAACTCCACAGACTTTAGGCCACATCCCATGCTGTTAATTCTTATAGTCTTGTTACACCTATGCACTGATGTCGTTAAAGCTAATAACTTTTTCTTTGCTAATGCTCATGTGCACACATTTGAGGGTTAAAATCAACTCCTTCAACAAACATTTAATGTGTCAGGCATTGTTCCAGGAGCTGGTGGGTCCTGTTGCTACATGAGAAGTGACCTGTGATGGCTCTTGATGGACCAGCAAAAAGCTGCTTGGTTTAACAGAGATGGTAGTCCCAAAGTGGATGTGTACTCACACTCCACAAGAGAAGGCCAAAGGAGGGAGTCCACTAGATACATTCCTGCACTTTCCTGGGGGAATATGGGCAACAGGGGTAGAAGATGTTGATATAACTATGCAATTCTTCCCCATATCACCTCAACTTTCTTTTTTCCTACCTGATGCAAATGTGGGTGCTGGAAGCAGGGATGATCACTAAGCAAAAAACCAGTTATACCTTTAAACATTTATACTAGAATTCCTAAGGGCCTGATGGGTTGGAACCTGCCTTCACCCCATCTGGAAAAACTGGGGTTGTCAGTGAATGCAGCTGTCTTGCCTGGCAGTTGATAGAGCCCACTAGCTCTGTACCCATGTGGCTCTATTCTATATGAATGGGAATGGGCTGTGGGAGAGGCATCTGGTATTGCTGCCAGCAAACTGGGTCAGGAAAGTGGCTGAACAGCAATAAGAAAACCCATTTTCACTGAGTTGATTCCAACTCATGATGACCCTACGTGTTACAGAATAGAACTGCTCCATAGGTTTTTTTTTTTTTTTTTAACGCTAATCTTTACAGAAGCAGACTGCCAGGACTTTACTCTGTGGCACAGACAGATGGGTTCGAACTGCCAACACTGAGGTTAGTAAACCAAAAAATCTGTTGCCGTCGAGTTGATTCCGACTCATAGCAACCCCACATAACAGAGTAGAACTGCCCCATAGGGTTTCCAAGGCTGTAATCTTTACGGAAGCAGACAGCCACATTTCTCTTCTGTGACACGGCTGGTGGGTTTCAACTGCCAACCTTTACGTTAATGGTCAAGTGCTTAACCACTTTTTGCACCACCAGGGCTCCTTAGTAGTCAACTGCAAACCATTTATGCCACCCAGGAACCCTGGCTAAACAAAAGCCCCTTCCAAAGGTGGAAAAGCTTGGTTTAAAGTCAATGACAAATGGAGAGGAGAATTAGTAGCTGAGGGGAAAGGAATGAATACATGGGTTATGCAATGAGGGAAATTCAACATTACATTGGTGTCCTGAGAGAGACTCAGAGCAAGAGAATGATACAGCCTCTCAGCACAATTTTACCAGATACTGAAAAGAGTGAAGCCATATGTTCGCCAAGATCAACCATGCTTCTGGAAACTGACAGTGTTAAACAGAAGCCTGCAAACCTCAGTGGGACATTTTAGTTATACGATGATGATAAACTGGACTAATTATAAATGACTGAACGGAACTCTAGTAATATGCCAGCATATTTCGACTCATACCTCAGGTTACATCTACTACAAAGGTTATCTTTTGGGAAGGAATTTCTGGGAACTATTCCCATTAGGGAGTCCTGGTGGAGCAGTGGTAGACCATGCTGTGTAAAACTTCCAGCAGACTGATTACTAACTATAAACTTGCTGAGCAAATGCTTAGATAGGTCCCCGGTTATACAGAACAAAATATAGCCAATGGCATGCTCAACATGCCACAGTGTGCTATGCACAAATACACATCACCCTAGTTTCTATGAATGGAATGCTACTGAACTAAGAAGACAATGGGATTCTGATAGGAACCATCACCTCCTCCCTAGTCCCTACTACTACCATCTAGCACCTCAACTTCTGCCTTAACTTTCTCACTGGATCTCCTTTTATTCACATTTCTTTTCTACAATCTGCTCTCCATTCTGAAAACAGAGACACAGCTAAGATTTGATTGTGTACTCTGCCCTCTCCACCTTTAAAACTCCTTGACTTTTGAGTTCGACAAATGACAGAGTATCTGAAGGTGTTCATGTGTTTGGGACCCTCAACTAGTCATGCCTGGCCCTCACAAGATAACTGAGATCTTACTTCCAGGGTCCCTCAACTGCCTGGTTTCTACTAACTCACCTGGATAGCCTCTCCTTGGCATTGCTCCCTCCTCTGTCCTATTTTTCATCTTGTTATAACTTAGAGATCACATCTGGCTGGATGCACTGACACCAGTCTTTGGCTATGGCAGGGAAATAGCTGCTTTGCTTTGCTAAACTCTTAAAATTTATTATTTCATTAATGCTTTGAGGTGGATTTTCCAATCAAAGGGAAGCCACGTGGATAGAAAATTTCCTTAAAGTCATCAGTAGGTAAGAGCTGGGTCAGGATGTAAAGAGCACACTCTTGACACAGCTCCAGAGGCAAAATAACCTGCCCATGTGATATATATGTAACACATCTGACCAAAAAGATTAAAAACCTTTAACTCTCAAAACTCAAGGATGACATCATTAACCATTCTGGAGATGTCCCAGCTTCCCACATTGAGACAGGAAAGGCTTTCTATGGGCTGGACTATGACTACAAAGGGGAGTTGACCTTACCCACAGAGACCAGGTTCCCATAGGT